CTACAGGTCAGATATATAGCCCTTTTATCGTCTACGTGCATTAAAAAAAAACCGTATGCCCCTACTATCCAAAACCTGTGTTTTTTTTCTTAAATGCACGTAGACGATTAACGAGCTATATATCTGACCTGTAGTCAAGTCCCTATGGTCTATGTCAGCATTGGTCGCATAACTATAAACAGAATTTGTTTTAGATTGCCATCTTTATCATTCACCAAGATTATAATTATTGTTAATTTATTTCAGAAGTTTCCAAACCTGAGAAATATGAATAAAAATCTCTTCACATGGATCATGGCAAATGAAGATTAAGATTTTAATAAATTATTACATAGTCTTTTATATAAAAATAAAAACCGCCCAGATGAGACAGAAAAAAAGAGATACAAGTTACATTAATTAAAAATTGAGACAACTATCCACCAAACTTTAAACGAAGTGGTTGTAAGCAATCATAGGCAGTACTTACTTACGTACCCGATAAAAACATACAACAAAGAACAACACATGGTATATGTAGTCTGATTTAGTACAGGCGCACAAAGGGGAGGGGATTACAAGCTTGGATAACCACCAGGATGACCCCCTTATTTGATAAAAAAAAATATATAAGACGGCATATAATAAAGAAAGGAGGTCAAAATGTCAAAGTGTCACGGTTATTACTACTACGAACCATGGTCTATTTGTTTTGTACCGTTCCTACTCTGAAGCTCATTTATTTGTTATTATGCACATTGATAGAAAACCCTGCATCTTTTATCGCCAAAAAAATATGGGCTGAAAATATTCCATGATTATTACAATGACATGCTTTTAAATATTCAAATCAGTGTAAACTACATTTATGTTACTTGCACTACAATAATGCACATGTAAATAGCATTAAGAAAGGACAAATACTGACAAATCAAACACGCCAACAACAGGTTATTGAAAGTAAATGGCACATTGTCCTCATATTTTAATAAGGTAGAAAACATATTTTATATGTACCGACCGTTTATCTTTCTTTTTGCGGGGGAGGGGTCTAAAAACATTTGTTCTCTACTACAATCTAATATTTAAATCCCCCCTATGGAGCTCGGATCTCCATTACGGAGCTACATATATATGGTAAATGCATAGACTTAACATGTCAAACTCCTAACGTTGCCTAGTTTGTCCCCTTTCAAAATCCTGAATCCGCATATGATACAGGAACACGATGTTTGCTTAAATCCCACGTTGAATTATTGTTTTATTTTATTTTTCACTTCCCCTTTGAAACAATTTTTTTCACGAAATTTACGGAATCAACCAAGTCAGACCCCCCTTCCCCTAAAAAAAGGATGAATGGTCGGTGCTATAAACTGACTAAAAATTGTATCACAATGCTTGTAGACTGTATACTATTTATTGGTTCTCTGGTGGATACACCTTTGTTTCCAAAAACTTTCTTGCACTTCTGCATGTGTCTGTCCCATGTCAGGGAATTGTCGTTGTTTGCTGTTTGTTATATCTGTTTTTCGTCAACTGTTTTGCCATTTCAAATTGGCTGGTTATTTTCTCTCTCTCGTATGAATTGTTTCGACTTTTGTCGGAGCCATTTATAGCTGACTATACGGCATGAGTTTTGATAATTGTCGAAGGCCGTTTGGTGACCTATAGTTGCTTAAATCCGCTTCATTTGGACTGTGTTGGATAGTTGTCTCATTGGCATTTCATGCCATATCTCCTTACTTTATATTGACACATCCTAAAAGAACGAAGTATCTGTGATTATGTTCCGGACCATATGGGTATTTGGACCATACACGTATGGTCACAATCATATGCGTATACTCATTTGGTTATTAACGGGCCGGACCATACGAGTATTTAGACTATATAGGTATTTTTCGAATAATTCTATCTTTCTTTGCAGGAACACAGCTCATTCTCTGAACAAAAAACGGCACAAGTTACTATCTGAATTCTTTTATCTTTTACATATTGTCTAACTCTTTGTGTATCTGTTATCTTGCATTCGCTAAGAGTCAATTCAAATCGACTTTATACTTCCGATATTCGTCCGTAAGTGAAACCACATGCGTTTGGGGCATGGATTTTTTTTTCTGTTTTCTTATTGTTTAAATATTATTTCAGAAACACAATTTCTACTTATTTCTACTTATTTTCATTAAATTGATTACTGTCATTGTAAGATCGTATAAATAAGAGCAGGAACACATGAACAAATTTAAAAAAAACAATAAGAAATTTTTAAGAAATTATAATTTAATAATAACAAATTTAAGCACCAAATGAAATTTAAAAAAGAAAAGAAAGAGGGTTCAATAACCAAAGTGCCTGTGAGTTAAGCAATTTACTTATTCTTTAACATAGATATAGGAAGATGTAGTATGAGTGCCAATGAGACAACTCTCCATCCAAGTTACAATTTATAAAAGTAAACCATTATAGGTCAAGGTACGGCCTTCAACACGGAGCATTGGCTCACACCGAACAGCAAGCTATAAAGGGCCCCCAAAAATTACTTGTGTAAAACCATTCAAACGGAAAAACCAACGGTCTAATCTGTATAAAAACGAGAAACGAGAAACACGTATGAACTACATAAACAGACGACAACTACTGTACAGATTCCTGACTTCGGACAGATGCAAACATTTGCAGCGGGATTAAACGTTTTTATGGTACTAATCCTTCTCCCTTTTCTGAAACAATAGTATAACATCACAACATAGAAAAACACACTATAAAATATCAATTGGAAGGCTTAACTCAATCAAAAACCGTAAATTAACACACAATGAACGAATAAATTTGACCTGTGACACCTGAATGCAAATACACAGTTAATTAAAAAACTACAAGGGATAAATAACAGTTCATTTAGATATTTCTTGAAGTATTTTTCAAAAGTCGACATATTGCGTTCCGTATGGACAAATCGATAATGACCATGTTAAAAATATTTTACTATAATTCTTACTTGTAAATAATATTCACTCTTTTAAATTAGTCATTCAAAAATGACTACCATATGATTGAATAAGTGAAAATTTCATTTTTAGAAACTCTTAATTTATGTGACACCTTTTCAACGTGAACTTCGTTCATCGTGTCAATTACCCGGACCATACGCGTATGGTTGGACCATATGAGTATATACGAAGATTGTCATGACCATACGCGTATGGTCCAAATACTCGTATGGTCCGGACCAATTATATGATTATATGATTTCATGTCGGTTTCCACCAGTCAAGCGACGTTACTAAAGATCTGATTTTTCATACGCGTATACTTAAATCTATCAGAGGTGGTTTTGGGGGGGACAGGGGCCTCCTTATGGAGCTTATATGATAAATGCATAGACTTTATAAAAGTATCACTCCCAACGTTGGCTTGCCAGGGCCCCCCTTTTTCGAAAATCATAGATCCGCTCCTCAGTGCGGCACTGCTGTCTTCCCCCTAATTGAAATTAACTGACGCGGACCTAAGCCTAAGGAAGGTGTGGGTTATGTTAGCTTGCTCACTAAAGATTCTTTCATTTAGTACCTATCACCAATGGTAATGTTCATATGATTTTTTTTCCAATAACTTTTGAAACCGCAAAATTCAAAAATTCTCTTTTAATTTCATTTATATGCCATTGTACAAAGGATTTTGTAAGAAGAAAATAAAAGAATTAGCTGTGACCTCTAACCTTTATATGTTCCATATCTATACTTGTCTACATACAATAGAAACCTCATGTGTGTCAACTAAGTACAACCAAAAAATGTCTGATTGGTGTATGATAACGATACAATAGTATTATAAAAGTGTTGATTACTGCACATATTAAATGGCTGATTTGGTGTTCCTACAATGAACACATCCAACCATTGTATTAGTTGGGATACACTTATTAACAATTTCTTGGTTTTCACTTTATCTACATTGGAAAAAGACAATTCAAAGGAGTAGGCCCGGTAAGAACCCTTTTTGGTCCCAAAATATAGCGTTCTTACAAAGTAGTTAAAAATGTAACTTTTAGCTATTTATTGGAAAGTAGAATAGAATACTTTTGTTACATGAATATGGGCTGTTTTGACAATACAATGGACATGCATCAGGTACTAGCATCATTTGTTCATGCAAAAATACTGAAATCTTCACAATTTTAGCATTTTTGCTAATTTTAAGACGGTTTTTGTCTAAAATGGAAGTGGCCGCACTTGTGTTCAGACTTAATATTCAAATATATGTTGTATTTAATGATAATACACATCATATTTAAATGTTGAGACTGAAGAATGCAGCCACTTCCATTTTAGACAAAAACCATCTGAAAAGTGACGTTTATGGCATATTTGGTAGATTTTTCATATTTAAGCTAAAATTTGAGCGTCTTTAACGACCGAATCCGTTAAAATCTTGAACATAAACTAATTGAGTCAACTGAAGTAGACACTTGATTGTTTGAAAAAGGTCAAAAATCTTTTATCAGATGTACTTCGAATTGTAGGCCGAAATTAGCCCTTACCTGACCTTCTCCTTTGAATTTTATCTATAGTTCCAACAATTAAAATCGATATTGGTACAGCAAATTTATCCGAATTCCAGGCTCTACAGTTGAACAGGTTCGCTTTCAACACCTGGCAATTTAAAACAGCTCTTGGTAGAATTAGAATAGAATCAACCATTTCTAAAAAAAAATATTTGCTAGTATACGTATTGTTTCCGGTTACAATAATTTCTTCCTGAATATGTAAACATTGTTCGTCTTTGAGAACCAAGCAATCAGCAACAACCATATGATTAATTAGTTTAAAAGGTTTTTGGTTCTATCTATTAGAACAGATTTTGATGTAAAGTTTGTGACTTGTAGAAGGTTGATCAGAGAAGTATGGAGGTAATTATATTTAAAATTTGAAATTGATTCTCTTTAATTTGATCAGACCAAACAGTAACAAATTTATTATTAAAAAGTTTGTTTGTTCATCACAGAATTGTAACATCCATGATGAGTAGGTAATTTTTAATTCATTATTTAACAAACATTACTCGCTCACTCCATTTTTCAATTACACTTATAGACCAATATCTCACTGTTCGCGCTATTAGTTTGAATTGAAATGAAAAGCTTGCAAAAATCTGTATTGAAAGCTAAACCATATCGGCCCTTCAGTCCGTCTTCTGTTGTCAACATGGTTTTTAGAGATTTATCTTCAGAACAAAACAGCTTAAAGTTTGATGCTTTGTATTCGAGAATGTAGACATTTCCTAATCTGTCGGCTTTGACCTCAATCACGTGATTAGTACATTGAGTAGAAATAAATATATCTTTTCCATCATCTAATCTAACGCATTTCAATTCCGATTCTGCTATATTACCCTGAGCATAGTGAAGTTGATGTTTTTGTCCAACTGATATAGAGTGAACATCCTCTCTCTCAACATTAATCGTATTCTTTAAGTCACCGGTTTTGCTGATAATGTATATCTTGCCGTAACCACCGACGGCAATTTCGTCGTCAATTAGTGCAATACCATAACATACTCCAGGTACTTTAATCAATCGGCCCTTTTCCATTTTAACAATGTCTACTGTCTGAACGCACGGTGTATTAGGCAGTGTTACCCATGCTGTATGTTTGTCTTCATCCATAGCTATCCCCCATGGACGTCCGTCCATTCGAGTTGCCGCCAATTGTTTGCCTTTGTCTGACATAACAAATAATTTAGAACCGGTCCTATCACACAGGAATAATCTATTGTCTTTTGTCACACCTATACCGATAACGTTTGCACCTGGTACTTTAAATTTTGTATCTAGCTTGAATTTTGTTGGAAGCTTTCTCTGTTGTTGCAGAAATTGCGCTTTCTGAGCCTTAAACGGTTTGTATTTGATATCAAAGGGAGTCTCTTTGATTTCCACTGAACCAAATGATTTCATAACGGACAGCAAATCAGACTCTTTATACAAAAGAGGTGCAGTTTTTTGTGACGACAAAAATTCTTGAAATTCATTAACATGACAGTTCAGTTCTTCTTTCATACTGTTTATCAACATGAATATTTGACTTTCAGATCCGTGTTTCGACACAGATTCAAACTGTTCAGAAATATTTCTATTCGTATCTTGTTTTTGCGATCACATATCTTGTTCATGTCACTTTTTGCTTTATCTGAGAGTTCAGTATGAGCTTTTTCTATTTCACACATTAAAGCCACTCCAATTTCTTGAATGCGTGTCTCTAACCTCTTTTGAAAATACTGCACCTCTTGTTGTACAGTCACCTTGCTATCATCAATAGTATATACACTTTTCTCCTTTTTGTCTTCAAGTTCGCTTACAGCAGCATTTAGCGTACAGACATCAGTGACAATTTCTTCGTACATTGTTGAGCTTCTGACATCTTTCGCAGTCAAGGGTGGTCACGTTTTGTAGAATGACCATAACTTGATTATAAGTGTTTCTCTCCACATATTGCAGTTCTTTCAATTACATGTATCTGACCAAATTGCAATTTGTTAATAATGTGGAATTCAAGTCTTTTAAGGTTGTAAGTATGCTAAATTTTATCAATTTGTACTTTGACGACTTTTTGTTTTACAGCTTTTCTCACATTTAACAACACGTCTCCTTTCCACAAGTGTTTGAATCGCTACAGGTTTGAGAACCAGAACGCCAAATTGAAATCCCTCCTTTCAAACAATTAACTCAGACCAAAGACAAATAGCATTATGAGGCTTTCGGGGAATGTAACGATTTAAGATGAAATTGAGGTCTTGCTTAAGATGACAAATATTTGGAAGTATGCAAATAATTTTATAAGATAGTTTTGAAAGAATGAAAGACCTACATTATGGGTTTTAAGGGAAACAATTAGTTTCAGTTGTTGGTTCTTGAAGCACGGATAACCACGTCATACTGTTGGCAACAACAAGGATGAATTGAATATAATATAATGCCACGCTAGTCCGGACGAAATGTCAATTTTAAAATGGGATGTCATCTATTGAACTGCTTTGATAAACAGTCACATCTGATCGAGGGCATACTATATGTTCGGAATGTACCACACACATTTCCACGTTGAAGACCCATTGGAATGAAAACTCTTGTGGACTTTCATGTACACGGGTTGTGCAAAACCTTTCACTCTGCTCAGGACGTTCTCATTTTAGTGTTTCTTGTCGGCTCTCTGTCAATATGAAAGAACTTAACAAATTGAACAATTGTTCAATTTCTTATCGACCAAATATGCATTGAAAGAAACTGAACATAAGACAACAAATACCAGTTCTACGGTGAAATGAAAATCCTTAATTCGTCAGACATCCGATCTATATCTTGGGATCATCCGAGTAAACAGTACAACAGTACTTTGATTTAACGTTTCCGTACAAGGAAGCATAATATAAATGGATTTACCTTATTTTCTGTCTTGTTCTATTTACGCCTCTAATCTTTTTTACGTATTTTTCATGTTTCTTACATTAATGTCAACCTGTACTATTTTTTACACTTTAGCACCACCAGACTGTGATTATGTATACTCATACTTAGTTAATTAATTTCAAGACCATTTACCTTTCCTTAATATCAGTTCCACAGGGTGGCCCGGATTTCAGTCGACCGATAAAAAGGTAGATAACTAGCTAGTGAATGTTTACTACCTATGTAGACATGCTTAGGAACAATCTATCCCCACATTTACTTTCAATTTTGAAATTCACTTAAACAATATATTTTACTTTAATAATTCGGGTTGACAATGGTTGAGTCACTGCAGTTTGAGGATAGAAACTGGATACATTGAACGCAAACTAAATGAGCTCAGTGCTGTCCAGACGTGAAAGGTTATGTCAACATTGGTCGCAAAACTAAACGGAATATGTTTTAGATTGCCATTTTATCTTTATGATTCACCAAGATTATAATTCTTGTAAAATTTATTTCAGAAGTTTCCAAACCTGAGAAACTTATGAATATAAATCTCCTCACATGGATCATGACAAATGAAGATTAAGATTTTAATAAATTATTTAGTCTTTAATATAAAAAAAATCCGCCCAAACGAGACAGAAAAAAAGAGATAGAAGTTACTATAGCTAAAAAAAAGTGGCGGAAATAACCAAGAGGAAATTCAAAAATCATAAGTCGAAGATAAACTGACAAGGCCATGTCTCAAAACGTAAGACGACGAACTCAGAAAACACTTCCTAAAACACTATGACTGAGCAACATGAACCCCACCAAAAACTGGGGGTAATATCAGGTGCTCTGGGAGGGTTAATAGATCCTGCTCCTCTAGTGGCACCCGTCATGCTGCTCATGGTAAGTAGAAATTCTGTGATAGAGGGACTTATTTTTTTTGAAGCTATCTTTGACACCCTCTGAATAGATCTTACTTACTTACCCGATAAAAACGGACAACAAAGAACAACGCATGGTCTATTTAGTCTGATTTAGTACAGGTGCAAAACAGGGGAGGGGATTACAAGCTAGGATTATCACCAGGATGACCCCTAATTTGAACAAAGATATAAAAGACAGCGTATAAGAAAGAGATGAGGTCAAAATGTCAAAATATCACAGTGCTCGCTACTACGGACCTTGGTCTTATTTGTTTTGTACCGTTCCTACTTTGAAGCTCATTTATGTGTTATTATGCCTCAAATCCACATTGATAGAAAACTATATATATCTTTTATCGCCAAAACAAAAATATGGGCTAAAATATTTCATGATTATTACAATGACATGCTTTTAAATATTCAAATCAGTGTAAAATACATTTATATTACTTACACTACAATAATGCACATGTAAATAGCATTAAGAAAGGACAAATACTGACAAATCAAACACGCCTACAACAGGTTATTGAAAGTAAATGGCACATTAACCTCATATTCTAATAAAAAAGAAGACATATTTTATATATATATGTACCGAGCATTCATCTTTTTTTTGCGGGAGGGGGGGGGGGGGGGGGTCTTTAAACATTTGTAATCGACTACAATCCAATTTTGAGTCCCCCTTATGGAGCTCGGATCTCCATTACGGAGTTACATATATATATGGTAAATGCATAGACATTTAACATGTCACACTCCTAACGTTGCCTAGTTTGTCCCCTTTCAAAATCCTGGATCCGCATATGATAAACAGGAACACGATTTTTGTTTAAATCCCATGTTGAATTAATTTTTTATCTAATTTTTCACTTCCTCTATGAAGCAATTTCACGAAATTAACGGAATCAACCAAGTTAGAACCCCCCTAAAAAACGGATGAATCGTCGGTACTTTAAACTGACCAAAAAATCGTTTCACAATGCTTGTATACTGTATATTTTTTATTGGTTGTCTGGTGGATACACCATTGTTTCCAAAAACTAACCTGCACTTCTTCGTGTGCCTGTCCCGAGTCAGGGGGATTGTCGTTGTTTGCTGTTTGTTATATCTGTTTTTCGTTAACTTATTGTCAATAATTGTCTGGATTTTTGTCTCCCTGTCCCGTTTGAATTGTTTCACATTTTGTCATGTCGGAGCCATTTATAGCTAACTATACGGTATGGGGTTTGTTCATTGTTGAAGCCGTTTGGTGACCTATAGTAGCTTATATCCGCTTCAATTGGACTTGTTGGATAGTTGTCTTATTGGCATTTCATGCCACATCTCCTTATTTCATATTTACTCATCCTAAAGGAAAGAAGTGTCTGTAATTATATGAGTTCATGTCGGTCTTCACAAGTCAAGCGACGTTACTATAAAGACTTGATTTTTCATACGCGTATATACTTAAATCTATCAGACGTGGTTTGTTTGGGGGGGGGGGGGGACTTATATGATAAATGCATAGACTTTTTAATAGAAACACCCTGGCTTGACAAAAGGGGGGGGGGGGGCTTTTCGTAAATCCTGGATCCGCTCTTCAGTGCGGCAGCGCTGTATCCCCCCCCCTCCCAACCCTAATTTTAACTCATTGACGTGGACCTAAGCTATTGACGGATTGATTTGGGTTTTTTTTTTAGTCTAGGGTTGAATATTAAGTCCCATTTTAATAATTTACGTGAAAAAAATTTCACTGTACGTCTTTATTATGAATCCGCTTCACGGTTCATTAAACCGCAAACAATTCATTGGTTACTGTTTTTGGCGGGTAATTGCTATTGTTCTGATTTTCTTGGGGACCATACAATATTTATCAGGCAGGTGGGACCGGTGCAAACCACAGTTGGACAAACACATTTTTCATTCACTTCAGGCATAGGGTCTCCACTTTTTTCACCTTTGGTGACCATAGGTCATGAAGATTTATTCAAACTCTTGCTATCAAACAAATTTTGTTTTTAACTAAATATCCAAACAAGAAACATTTGTACAATCAATAAAATAGTTTATCATAACAAAAAACAATATTAACATATATCTATTTGTTATATTTTAAAGTATAGTTTGTTTGTTAAAATATAGCAAATTAAAAATATATGTTGCTAAACTTTTTTACTCTCAGTATACATGTTCTTTATAATAGGAAACACACTTAAATGATATTTACTATAGTAATTGTTTGATTAGCTAATTTTATTGATGTTCAAGTATGACATATCGTCTCTTTATTTTTTGGCTTAAATCATCATCTTTAATATATTATCATGGAAATACATGATATTTTCATATTCATATGAATTAACTCATTTTTAACAATTTGCAGACAAAATAAACAGGGAAATTAAAAAGCAAGTAATAATCATCAAATGAACAAATTATAAATGAAGAAACCTCTTTCAAGGTAAATAGGTGAACAACATATACATATATTTTATCAGATGTAATTTTCATATCCTATTAAAATTTCCAATTTAATATTTCATAAATGTATTAATAGACATAATATTAAACTCTAGTCTGCAATGTTGGAGAGTGTACATTGTTAAAGATGCATATAGGCCTAGATGAGCAACACAGGCTCTGAGGGGCCTCTTGTTTGTTTTTGTGTGCTTTGTATCGATCTGATGAGTTGAGCCCTTTTCAACTGATTTTTATAGTTTGTTAGATTGTTCTGTTAAATCACTATCCCAGGTTAGGGGAGGGTTGGGCGCCCGCAAACATGATTACCCCCCCTCCGCCCCCCCCCCCCCCCCCCCCCACACACACACACGCACACACATTCTGTATGTGCCTGTCCCAAGTCAGGAGCATGTAAATCAGTGGTTGTCGTTTGTTGCTGTTTTTTACACAAACGTA